AAACAAAACAAAAAATGCAGAATACATTTAACCATGGAGATGAAAGATCTCTCCAAAGAAAACTACCACACATTGATGAGAGAAATTGAAGATGATATCAATGAGTAGAAAAATCTTTCATGCTCCTGTATTGGAACAAAAAAATTAAAATGACCATACAGTTCAAAGCAATGAGTAGATTCAATGCAATCCCTTTTAAAATACTGTTATTTTTCACAGAATTAGGGAAAAAAAAAGCTAAAATTCACATGGAACCAAAAAAGAGCCCAAATATCCAAAGCAATCCTGAGGGGGGAAGGAGCTGGAGGTGTCACATTACCTGACTGAAAATTATATTACAAGGCCATTATAACCAAAATAGCATTATAAGAGTATTAAAACAGACATATAGATCAATGGAACAGAATAGAACAGAACAGGTAACCCAGAAATAAAGCTACGTATTTACAGACAACTGATATTTGACAAAGCCAACAAGAACATACATTGGGAAACGAACACCCTTTTCAATACATAGTACTGGGAAAATTGGAGAGCCATATGCAGAAGAATAAATCTGAACCTCTGTCTCCCACCATAAACATAAATTAATTCAAGGTGGATTGATCAAACACTATAAACTATATAGAAACTATAAAAATTTGAGAAGGAAACTCAAGGAAACTCTTCTGAACAATAGTCTAGGCAAAGAATTTATGACTAAGACCTCAAAAGCAGAGGCAACAAAAACAAAAATAGATAAATGAGATTTACACTTAAAAGTTTCTACACAGCAAAAGAAACAATCAACAGGGAGAAGAGGTAACCTGTTGAATGGAAGAACATATTTGCAAACTATTCATCTATTAGGGAACTCATATTCAGAATATGCAAGGAACTCAACTCTACAACAAGAAACAAATAATCCTATTAAAAAATGACTAAAGGACATGAACAGATATTTTCCAAAAGAAAATATACAAATGGCCAATCAGTGATGAAAAAAAATTCAACATCACTAATTGTCAGAGAAATGCAAATCAAAACCACAATGAGTTATCATCTTACCCAAATCAGAATGGCTATTACTAAAAAGACAAAAATAACAGATGTTGGCGAGAATGTGGAGAAAAGAGAACACTTATACACTGCTGGTGGGAATGTAAATTAGTACAACCCCTACGGAAAACAGTATGGAGATTTTTTGAAGAACTAAAAATAGAACTCTCATTTGAACCAGCAATCCTACTACTGGGTATCTATCCAAAGAGAAAGAAATTTTAGAAGACACACATATAAACATAAAAGGATGTAAAATAGACAAAACATCTTTGAAAAAGAACAAAGTTGGGAATCAAACACTGCCTGATTTCAAAGCTTATTGTAAAGCTACATCAATCAAAATAATGTAGTATTGATGTAAAGATAGATTGGTAGTCAAAAGAGAGTACAGCCACAGATTCACATATGTATGTTCAATTGTTTTACAATAAATATGCCAAGGCAATTCAATGGGGAAAATAAACTTCTTACAAATTATGCTAGGATCATTGGATAGTCCTATTTAAAAAATATGTACCTTGACCTTTACTTCACACCATTTATAAAAATTTACTCAAATGGATCAGAGAATAAAATTTAAGAACTAAAACTACAGGCTTCTAGAATAACTCATTAGAATAAATCTTAGTGTAAATGCTTGGCAAGTATGTCTTAACTATAACAAAGTATGAAGTATAAAATTAGAAATAGTAATTAAACTTCAAAATTAATAGTTTTTATGTTTCAGAAGACACTTTGGAAAGTGAAAAGACACACAGACTGGTAAACAATCTTTGCAAATATATATTAGGTAAAGAATTTGAATCTAGAAAATATGAATAACACAACTAAATGATAAGAAAACAAGTATCATTCTCATCTTCACCCAAAAAAATGGCAAAAAAAATTTGAGCAGACTTTTTTTTAACCAAAGGAAATGTGGATGGAAAAGTAGACATGAAAACGTCTTCAATATTATTTGCTACTAGGAAAACGCAAATTAAAATATCATATCCATGTGATGTAAATATTTCCCCACTTACCATTTAGCTTTTATAATGTTTTAAAAATTCATTAAAAAAAATTTTGCCATGCCAAAGTTGATTTTTTAGGGTAATATAATCTATTAATCTTTTATTATATGGTTTCTGTGTTTTAAATTATAGGTAAAATATCAGGTAGTTGTTTCAGTACAATTTATTGAATAATTTATTATATCTCCTACTGGTTTAAATAATCATCTTTATCGTAAATTTCAATTCCTATATGTAAATTTTGTTCTGCATATTTACTTCTCATTCTTTTTCTTTAGTTTATTTACATATTTATACATAAATACCATATTCTTTTAATTACTAAAGCTTTATTATATGTTTTACTATGTGGTAGTGATAGTTTTCTACACTTACGTACTTTTTTTTAAACCATAAATACCAAATGCAAAAGTAACCAAGTTCTGAGAGAAAATTACAAGAGATTGATATTAAGAGCACAGTTATAGAATTGACTGGAAGAGAGAGGGCTCAACTGAAGCAAAAAAAGAAAGGGGAGAGTGGTATGGCAAGAAATTGGGAAGTTACGTCACTACAAACTTTCAGTAAAATGAGAATTAAAATCATTTGCTAAAAGAAAAGAAGATAGAAGTTGGATAGGCAACTTAAAAATGGTGAAAGGAAATGACAGAAGGTATCTGGTTAAATAAAAGAACCAACTCAGAACCTGCAGATCTGGAGATGTCAACCCTAGGCATTCATTTTTCACCTCCCTGCCACCCCAAACCGAAAAAGCCTGGGGTTAGCCATGGATATGATGGATTGCTGGAACAAACCTGAACTCAGGTACAATAGGATTAGTGCAGAAGGAAAGCAAGGGTGCTAAGGCTGCTGTGGAGATTTGTTGAAGGTATCAACAGCGGGGTACTGACTATGTTTAGAACAGAGGCAAAGAAGATACTGGCAGTCTGGGTGAAATTGGACAAATATTGAATTGGAGGTTGCTATGAGGCTGAAAATCAGGAATCTTGAGAATGAGAGAGTAAGGAGGATGGAAGAATAAAAAGTTATGTTCTGAGAATGGGCAAGTGATTAAGTTTTTAGGAATATTGCAGATTAAGACTGCCAAAAATCCAGGAAATATCTGTAAGAATAAAGGTCATAGATGTAGGTAAATTTATTGGAGTTGGGGAAATTAAATAGTTGTAGTGCCAGATGGAGTGTAGTATAAGACAGGTCACCTCTATGTATTCTGAAAACTTGTAGGTCATGGCTGGATGCAGGATACAGAGAAAAATTTTAAGTTCCATCCCAATGTCTTAAATTAGAGATTGTCAAAGTGAGGTATATAAATCTATGTGGAGCTACAAGATACTTGTCAGGCATTCTATGAGGTGAAAGTTATTTTATAACAATACAAAGATATATGCCCCTTTAATCATGTTGGTATTTGCACTAGAAACAGTGTGAGGAGAGCTAACATCATACTTAATGTTGAGAAACTGAGTGTTTTTCCCCTAAAATAAAACAAAACGTTTGTTTTCATCACTTCTATTCAACATTGTACAGGAGGTACTAGTCAGGGCAATTAAGCAAGAAAGAGAAACAAAAGGAATCCAGATTGGACAGGAAGAAGTAAAATTATTTTCAAGTGACCTGATCTTGTATATAGGAAATGCTAAGGAATCTCTAAAAATCTATTAGAGCTGGTAAGCAAGCTAAGCAAGGTTGCAGGGTAGAATATCAATATGCAAAAATTCAATTTTATTTCTATATACTAGTAATGAATACTCTATAAATGATATTTAAAAACCAATTCGATTTATAATAGGGTCAAGGAGAATAAAATACTAAGGAATAAATTTAATAAAAGAGGTGTAAGACATACACTGAAAAGTAAGACAGTGTTAAGAAAAAAAGAACTAAATAAATGGAGGGACATCCCATGTTCATGGATCAGAAAGCTTAATATTGAAGAGACAGTAGCATTTTCCAAATTGTCCTGCAGAGTCGATGCAATTTCTACCAAAACTTCAGCTGCTTTTTTCTAAGCATAAACTGACGCAACCAATCCTAAAATTCACATAGAATTGCATGTGACCCTGAATAGCTAAAATAATCTTGAAGAGGAAAAACATAGTTGAGGCACTCACAATTCCTAATTTCAGTACTTACTACAAATCTATAGTAAACATTACAGTGTGGTACTGGCATAAGCATAGATATAGAGCAATGGAATAAAATTGAGAGTCTATAAAGAAATATTTATGGTCACTTAATTTTAGATAAGGGTGCCAAAACAATTCAATGAGGAAAGAACAGTCTTTTCAACAAACGGTGTTGAGAAAACTGAACATCCACATGCAAAAGAGCTGGATACTTCCCTCACATCATACATAAAAATAAACCCAAAATAGATGAAAGACCTAAATGTAAAAGTTAAAAATATAAGACTCCAAGAAGAAATTATAAGAATAAATCCTTCCAGCCTCGGATTGAGCAATAGCTTCTCAGATAGGACAAAAGCATAAGTGACAAAAGTGAAAATAGATGAACTGGACTTCATCGAAATTAAAAACTTGTATGCTTCAATTACATCATCATGAAAGTGTAATAACATCTCACAGAATGGAAGAAAATATTTGCAAATCATGTATCTGTTAAGAACGTAGTACTCCAAATATATAAAGAACTCTTACAACTCAATAACAAAAAGACAATCCAATTAAAAATCAAGGAAAGAATGCTAGTAGACATTTTTCCAAGAAAATATAAAAATGGCCACAAGTCACATAAAAAGATGCCCCTCATAATTAGTCATTAGAGAAATGCAAATCAAAACTGCAGTGAGATACCACTTGACACATGCTAAAATGGCTGTAATAAAAAAGACAGATACTTTTCTGAGAAAGACGCGGTCATAGGACCTGCGGATCTGCGGTTCGCAGGCTCCTGCTCCTGACTCACCGCTATTCGCTCTCGCCGAGGTCGGTCAGGAAGCCGCGCAGCAGCCATGGCTTTTAAGGATACCGGAAAAACACCCGTGGAAGCGGAGGTGGCAATTCACCGATTTCGAATCACCCTAACGAGCCGCAACGTTAAATCCCTGGAAAAGGTGTGTGCTGGCTTGATCAGAGGCGCAAAGGAAAAGAACCTGAAAGTGAAAGGACCAGTTCGAATGCCTACCAAGACTTTGAGAATCACTACAAGAAAAACTCCTTGAGGTGAAGGTTCTAAGACGTGGGATCGTTTCCAGATGAGAATCCACAAGCGACTCATTGACTTGCACAGTCCTTCTGAGATTGTTAAGCAGATTACTTCCATCAGTATTGAGCCAGGAGTTGAGGTGGAAGTCACCATTGCAGATGCTTAAGTCAATTATTTTAATAAATTGATTACCAGTTGTTAAAAAAATAAAAAATAAATTAAAAAAAGATAATGAGAAGTATTATAAAGAAATTGCACGCTTCATACACTGCTGGTAGTAGTGTAAAATTGTGCAATCACTTTGGAAAACAGTCTGGCAGTTCCTCAAAAGATTAAAAGAGAGTTATCATATGACCCAACAATTCCAGTCCAGTCTTTATTCTACACCTAAGAAAAATAAAAACATGTTCCCAAAAATCTTGTACATGAAAGTTTGTATTGACATGATTTATAGAAGCCAAAAAGTGGAAAAAAAAAACAACTGTTCAACAACTGATGAATGAATGAACAAAATGTCATATTATCTATATAATGTCATATATCTACATAATATTATTTATCAGTAAGAATTATTTAGTAAAAATATTACTTGGCAATAATACATTCTGCAACATGAATAAACCTTGAAAATATTATAAGTGAAAGAGCTAGATGCAAAAGACCACATATCCTATGATTCCATTTTTATAAAACCAGAATAGGTGAATCCATAGAGAAACACAAACAGTGGTTTCCAGAGCCTGCACGAAAAGGGGAATAGGGAGTGACTGCTAGTGGATATAGAACTTCTTTTGGAGGGATGAAATTTTTCTAGAATTTGATAGTGAGGATGAATGCACACTTTGTGGATATAATAAAAACCACTGAACTGTACACTTTATAAATGTCAATTTTGTGGTATGTAGATTATAACTCAATAAAGTTAGTATTTAACAAAAAAACAATGGGGGTATAACAGCTGGCCCCTCAGCACAAATCAGGGTAGTGGTAGTGGTAATGAACTCCGTACTTGCCGTCATTGTATTCTATATGCCACTCACTCATGGTAAGAAAATAGAAGTCAGGCCGGTCGTGGTGGCTCAGGCCTGTAATCCCAGCACTTTGGGAGGCTGAGGCTGGTGGATCACCTGAGGTCAGGAGTTCAAGACCAGCCTGGCCAACGTGGCGAAACCCCGTCTCTACTAAAAATACAAAAAATTAGCTGGGCGTGGTAGCAGGTGCCTGTAGTCCCAGCTACTCAGTAGACTGAGGCAGGAGAATCGCTTGAACCTGGGAGGAAGAGGTTGCAGTGAGCTGAGATCACGCCATTGCACTTCAGCCTGGGCAACAAGAGTGAAACTCCATCTCCAAAAAAAAAAAAGAAAAAAGAAAATAGAAGTCAGTCAATTTCACTTAAGAATGTCTTTGGTGAAACATTGAAAATTATTATTTTTATTAACTCTCCATCCTGAGTACATATCTTTTCAATATTCTGTTTGATAAAATGGGAAGTATGCATAGAGTGTGATGATTGTTGCTAGGAAATGTTCTCTTGAGATTGAGTTGAAAGCTAAACTAGCTGCTTTTTTAAGGGAAATAAGTTTTACTTAAAAAAAAGATTGACAGGAAAAAATATGGTTGTTCAGATTTGGATATGTGGCTATTTGGTGGACATTTTGTCAAGAATTAATGAAGTGAGCCTGTCACTTTAAGGAAAAGAACTGACAGTATTTGTTGTCGATAAAATTTGAGATTTCAAGTGAAAATTAGAATTTGTGGAAGCTTTTATCCTCCACTGCAAACTTAAAAGCTTCCCAATACTTAAGGACTTCCCTGATGAGATTGTTACTGATAATAATAAATGCAATTTTTGATTCTGTATAATGAAATATATCATTGAAAAACTCACACAAGTCAATATTTTACAAATGGCTAGTGTGGGGCATTATAAAATTTTGCATTTATTAAAGTTCCATTCAAAATACCAGAAAGATTTGTGTATTTAAATGTAACAACATTAGATATGGATTCAAATTGCACATTGTAACTAAGCTTTCAAAAACTACCCTTTGTCAATTTTGGTGAGTTATCAAAGAAGAACATTCATAATTATTTGGAGAGGCTATTAAATTTTTTTCCATTCCAACACATTTTTATGTGAGGCCAGATTTTATTCATATACTTCAACCAAAATGACATATTTGCCATAGATTAGATGAAGATGGAGATTTGAGATTCTGTCTTCTAATAAGACAAATAATAAGTGAAAATGTAAACATTATCACTCTTCTCACTATTTTTGTTTTGAAAAATATATTTCTTTTACAAAATTACTTATCCAAACATATTTTGGGTTCATTATTTATTCCAATTAATTAATAAAATAATTTTAAAAACATCTGTTTTAACTTCAAATACAGTAAATCTCAATAGATATAATCCATGTTTAAAAGACTCTTTGTGGGCCTCAGTAATTCTTGAGATTGAAAAGGGATCCTAAAGCTAAAAAATTTGAAAACCACTGGACTGAATAATATAAAGAAAGGATATAGAGTTGATAAAAAGAAGAAACTTTTGATATAATTGGACACTTTGAGCATCAATAGTTTATGCATAAGAGTTAGAAAACGAATACTTGTATTTAACAAACACTTTGTAGTTTTTATAATATACCAGACGCTATTCCAAGAGCTTTACTAATATTAACTCATTTTTCTTCTGCACAATTTTATGAAGTGGCTATTATTATCTTTTTTGCACATATGAATATTGAGACGCTGAGAGTTTAAGTAAGCTTCTCAATGTCACACAGCTAGTAAGTATCAGAGGCATATATTTGAAGCTAAATATTAGTTTGGCTTTACAATTTGTGCCATCTCATTTTAAAGCAGCAAAATATAACTACAAGAATGCTGACCACACTGTCAGGTGCCATAGGATGCAGCCTTTTATGTGCCTCCTATGTATTCAGAACCATTCTGGGCATTTGTCACACTTTATCTCATTAATCTACAAAACACTTTACAAAACTGATATTATACATCTCACTTTGCAAATTAGAAAATTGAGACTTACAGACATTCAAATCGTTTGCTCAAAGTAACAGCTATTTAAGCACCAGATGACTTCAGTTGAGGGTTCAGTACTCTGTTTAATTTTTAAACCATATCTTAGCACTTTCCTTTATAACTCTAAAAATAGCTATTTCCGGTATTTTATCAGACTATAGCTTTATAATAAACCAAATGTCCAAACACCAGTATTCTAAACACTCCTATTACCAGGAAATCACTATTATTAAATATAAATAAATAATTATATATGGCCCATGTAAAATCCTATAATGATCTCTCTGTCTATCCATCCATCCATCCATCTCTGCCATCTCTGCATATATATATATAAAAAAACCTTAGAAGATATATATTTTTTAAAAAAAACTTAGAATCAGGACTTCTGTAGATTGTTTTTCCTTCCTTCTCCTTCTTCTCTCCTTCTCTTTCTTTTTCTTCTCTAGACCCTTCCTTTATATTGTTGTCTAGTGGTTTTGAAACCAACCCAATAGTCTTACAGGTAGTTTTGTTTTTTGTATAAATATAGAAGTCATCCTTTCTGGTCTTAAAGCTTGAAACTTACATTTATCTGAGTTGCTTCCATCCCTAGGCTTCTCAAAAAGTACCAAAGAACTGAAACTGACCAGATCATGGCATCCATAAAATGAAACACCAGGCCCCTCATTCATCATCATTGCTTCCTTAGGCCGCCAGAGTTCCTGTTTCCCTTACATTGTTACATTTCTTCCCTGCTAAATAAACCCCTAATTTTAGTCGGTCAGGCAGATGGATTTGAGACTGAGCTCCCATTTCCTCAGCTACAGCACCTGATTAAAGTCTTCTTCCTTGGCAATACTAATGGTCTGCAATACTCCTCATCTCAGTCATTCGCCTTCTGTGTAGTGAGCAGCAGGACCTAAACCAAAGCCCTGGTGTTTCAGTAAGTTTTCAAATTTTTTGACTTTAGAAACCCTTTACACTCTTAAGAATTTCCGAGGATCACAAAGAGATTTTTAAACATAGATTATGTCTACTGAAATTTACTGTATTTGAAATAAAAACAGATATTTTTAAAATTTCTATTAATTGGAAAAAGTAAATGATATGAGAGGGGGCAGGGAAGTACTGGGTAGAGAAGGGCAGGGTCCCTGGAGAGGGCTCCACCCTCAGGCCTGTGCCCACGGACGTAAGTGAGGACAGGCACTCCTGTTTTTGCATCCAAATGTTGCGTTTTCCAAGACAACTATGGCCTGCCACGCCCCTCCCCCCCAACCCCAACCCTCAATCCTGTGCCTTTCCCAACACTATCCGGCACACACACAAGTGGCAGGACATTGAGAGGAACACACCTGGAGAAGAACACAACGACAGACGCTGGAAGGCCATCGATGGTGGAACAACACAGACACGGAAATTTAGCCAAAGGCAGTTGGAGGAGAACCCAGCCACTGAGGGGCGTGACTCCAAGAAGACCATCTTTCCACCCATCCCTCTTGTGGCTCCCCATCCATAGGCTGAGAGCTACTTTCACCACTCAGTAAAATCCTGTACTCATTCATTCTCCAAGCCCACGTGTGATGTGTTTTTTTCTGGCATACTAGGGCAAGAGCCCCAGATACAGAAAGCTCTTTGTCCTTGTGATAAGGCAGAGGGTCTAATTGGGTGATTAACACAAGCCACCTGCAGACAGCTAAGCTAAAAGAGCACACTGTAACACACACCCACTGGGGATTTCTGGAGCTGTAAACACTCAACCCCAGACAGTGTCGTGGTGTCAGGGCCCAAAAAACACTCCCCAAGACCTGCCTGTCTGCATGCTCCCCCTAGGGGTTTGAACAGCGGGTCACCGAAGAAGCAAGCCACACTCGCTGTCACACGCCCTGCGAAGGGGATAAGGGAAAACTACTCTGGTTTCATAATGAACCCCAAAACATATTTGGATAAGTAATCTTGAAAAGGAAATATATTTTTCAAAACAAAAAACAGTGAGATGAGTGACAGCATTTACATTTGTATGTAGATATATATGTAAATATGTATAATATGCAATTATATATGTATATATAGTTAAGCTAGAATACCAAAACATGAACTTTTGTAATATTAATAGATAATATTTTTGATATCTTCAAATACTTACAAGCTTTATCAATAATATTAATGATGAGTCATTTT